AATGGCCAGTAAACATGAAGAGGTGTTCAGCAGCATTAGTCATCAGGGAAATGAAAACAAAAACCACACTGCAGTATCACTACATGCCCGGCAGAGTGGTTAAAATAAGAAGGATTAACAGTGCGTAATGGTGCTGAAGATACGGAGCACCTTTTCCTATGGTGGGAAAAGAAAATTGGTACAACCACTTTGGAAAATGATTGTCAGTATGATTTCCTCTGACCTGGCAAGTCCAGTCTTAAGTATACATCCAACAGAAATGCATGCACATGGTCACCAAAAGATACCTACTAGACCGTGCATAGTAGTTTTATTGAAAATAGCCAAAAACTGAAGATAAATAGAATGCAATGTCCAAAAAAAGTGGAGAAAGAAATTACGATGTATTTGGAAAATGGAATGGTACATAGCAATGAGGATAAACTATCTACAAATATACAATAATATGGATGAAACTCATAAACATGATGTTGAGTCAAAATAGCCAGACCCATAAGAGTTTCCCTTCTAAAAGTCCGTTTGTATGTGTTACAATAACAAGCCAAACAGACCTATGATGTTTCAAGTCAGGGTAGCAGTTTTTCTTGTTGAGAGGGAATAACTAGAAGAAGGGACACAAGGAAGGCTCCTGGGATGCTGGTAGCCAGCTGTCTTTTTCATTGTATGTTACAGCTAATAAAAGTTTAAAAGGACTGGAACAAAATTTTCTAAAACTAGGGATAAAGCAAGATAATTATAATAGCTCTGTGTTTTATTGTTCAACTTTTCTGGTTTTGTTTGATTTTGTTATTAGCTGAAGAAAGTCTTTCCCTCAAAAATGAATCAGGGTGTCTTTACCCTTCCAGCCTCCTCTTGTTGCACATTCCAGGGTATTAGGAAAGGCTACGGCAGGGTGATGTTTTTCTTCAGTTGTATTTCCCTGCACATGCAATGGCTGACTCTTAACTCAGTTGAGGCCCAGTGGAAAGGAGGAAAAGGCTTGAAAACAAGGCTGGGCCGAGGGTGAGTTGAAAAGATGTGAATGGGTCAGTCAACTTCAAATGTTTCAGCACGGTACTAAAAATGTGGAGGAGGCGGGGTACCATGGCTCATGCCTGTAATCGTAGCGCTCTGGGAGGCCAAGGTGGGTGGCTTGCTTAAGCTCAGGAGTTCAAGACCAGCCCAGCCAGAGTGAGACCTCATCTGTAAAAATAGCCAGGCTTTGTGACAGGCACTTGTAGTCCTAGCTACTTGCTGAGGCAAGAGGATTGCTCAAGACCAAGAGTTTGAGGTTGCTATGAGCTGTGACGCCACAGCTTTCTACTCAGAGTGACAAAGTGAGACACCGTCTCAAAAAAATACAAAACAAAATAAAATGAGTAGGAGGTTTAGAAGTAGGGGAGCTTGCCGCCTCCCCCAGGGAACTGTCACAGTGGTGACACCCAGCCAGCACTCAGATCCTCCTTACTCATCTTCACCAGTCCCACTGACTGCAGACTCACTGATGCTGCTTAATTTAGCCTAACATACTTAAACTTTTTGGATCACGTATCTCTTAAAAGAACTCCAGAAAAACTGTGTCACTCATTTACTTTTAAATTGATACCCAAAGGTTTTCTACGTATGTTTCAATCAGTTTAGTTTTCTAAAAAGGAGGTATAATAGAAAGTAATGAATATCTTAGAACACGAAGATAAGGGTCGACTGCTAGAATCGGTAATTTCATGATACTATTTGATAGTTATTAAATACCTTGTGAATGAAAAGCACACTGAATCGTCTGAAAGAAATGAATACGATTTTAAGCTGCTTCTTTATCCTGAACTTCTTGATAGTCCTGCAGAATATGTCAGTCTGGTTTAAAAGAATCAACCTCACTAACCTATAACTCCTTCATATTCTGAATTCAGAATACCCCAGTTCAGGCCTTCACTGATAACTTTAGTGGGAAAATTTCCAGCTTCTGAAGTCTCACATGGGATCTTTCCCAATACTGACTTGTCTGAGCTGACATATATTGGATTTCTAATGGAAGATTTAGCCTCTATCAGAACATGCCCAACAGAGAGCGATAGGAAATGCTGTGGGTTTATTCACTGATTAATAAATTTTGTTTGGCTCAAAATCTTTTTCATCCCGGAACGTGACCCGTAGTAATGTGGGATGGCAAAGTATGTTCAGTCTTCATCTCAGACAAGTAAGTATTGGTAAAATCCCACGTGAGAGTTCAGAAGCTAGAAAATTTCCACTAAAGTTGTCTGTGAATGTTTATTTCTTAGAAAGTCTTGTTTGAAGTTCGGAGACTGCTATGACAGGTGTTTGAACAAGTAGCTAAAATAAACAGATGTGTTGTCTCCTTTGTCTCAAGGAATCCAGTATGATAAAAGGTTACATTCAACCTGTGGCTTTTGTGTTTTTAATGGGAAGATAGCTTTTTATTGTTGATACATAAATAATTTCTACTGGGAGAAAATTACATAACTGAAAGTTAAGTCTATTGAAGCCTAAAATATGCTTTTGTATATTTGGATTTTGGATACACAATTTCTTGAAAATGGGCCAATAAAAATACCTAACTAATTTAGTGAATTTCATTTGATAAAGTTACCTGGATTTTGGCAATCACATCTTACAATTTTACAATAATATATTTATTTATAAATATGTATAATAATATACAAAGTAGTGTGTGGTTTTTGTTTTTGTTTTTTTTTTTTTTTGAGACAGAGTCTTGCTGTGTTGCCCCGAGTAGAATGCAGTGGCATCATCATAGCTCACTGCAACCTCAAACTCCTGGGCTCAAGCAGTCTTCCTACCTCACCCTCCCAAATAGGTAGGACTATAAGTCCTACCTTATAGTGCACCACAACCCCCCTGCTCATTTTTTTCTGTTTTTAGTGGAGAAGGGGGCTTGCTTTTGCTCAGGATAGTCTTGAACTCCTGTGCTCAAGTGATCATCCCCTGTCAGCCTCCCACAGTGTTAGGATTACAGGCATGAGCCACTGCATCCTGCCATAAAGTAGTGTGCTTTTAAATAAAATTTAGGGTATAGAAATTTTATTTAATTATAATTGCTGGATGGGGTAATTACAAAGACTTCCCCTGAGCAAACTTACATATTATTACAGTTTTCCTACATAGGATAATGATAATTGGGATAAATAAAATGCCTTTTATTTTGTACTTTAGAATCATAAATTACATTTTTTATTTTGTTTTATATTAACCCCAGACATCGGGCGGCACCTGTGGCTCGGTGAGTGGGGCACAGGCCCCACATACCAAGGGTGGTGGGTTCGAACCCGGCCCTGGCCAAACTGCAACAAAGAAAAGCCAGGCGTTGTGACCAGCGCCTGTAGTCCCAGCTACTTGGGAGGCAGAGGTGAGAGAATCATCTAAGCCCAAGAGCTGGAAGTTGCTATGAGCCATGATGTCACAGCACTCTACTGAGGGTGACAAAGTGAGACTCTGTCTCTAAAAAAAGCAATAAAAAAAAAAAAAAAAAACTAACCCCAGATATCAGTAGGATAACCTAGGGCTTTTTATTGCACAATTTCATCTCTAGGGTTTGTCTTTTAAATTTCACCCAGATTATCTCTGACATAGTAGTAGTGATTTTTGCCAAGATGTTTTTATTGTTAATGCTACGAGCTTAAATTTAAATCATTTTTATTGAAATGGAACCATTAAACTTAACCATTATAAACAATTGGTCAAAATAGAGTAGGATGTCCTACCTAGGACATAGGCACTAGAACTTTGCCTCTCAAAATGTACTCTTTCAGACTTTATCATGAGCACCAGAGGTACTGGTTAAAATGCATATTCCTAGACCTGCCACCTAGTAATCTGCATTTTGCTTGAGCATCCTGAGCAAATCTGAAGCACAGTAAAATGCGAGGACTGCTACTCTAAAATATTGGTACTTAATCATGGATGATCCATACCAGAAAAAGGCCTCTTAACTCCTCAGTAGAATATAAATAATAAATTAATAAAATAAAATTATGTATCCAGGAAACATATCCCCTTTCTTACATCTTGACTATAATTGCCTAATTCATATTTAATTCTCCAATCTTTTTTTTTTTTTTTTTTTTTTGAGACAGAGCCTCAAGCCATCCCCCTAGGTAGAGTGCCATGGCTTCGCAGCTCACAGCAACCTCCAACTCCTGGGCTAAAGTGAGTCTCCTGCCTTAGCCTCCCAAGTAGCTGGGACCACAGGCACCCGCTACAACGCCCAGCTATTTTTTGGTTGCAGCTGTCATTGTTGTTTGGCGGGCCCGGGCTGGATTCAAACCCGCCACCTTAGGTGTATGTGGCTGGCGCCTTAGCCACTTGAGCCAAAGACGCTGAGCCTAATTCTCCAATCTTTATAGCTATGATGTTTTATCCTAACCCCCCAATATACCAAATACTTTTATCACTTATTGCAGACTGCCCTGCAGTTATATATATAGCATACTTACAAGCTGTGTTTTCCTGAATTGTTATAGAATAAGAAGTATCTAATTAACTACTGTAAAAGGCCTGTGTAGTCATTGTTTAATATAGATTTTTAATGATGTGTTAAAATAACAAACATATTTTTAGTTAAACTCAACAAAATGGAACCAGTACAACCTCTGGTTTCACAAATGAAGTTATTCAAAATGAGTCTGTGAGCGCTAAGGGGCCCTTGTACACAGCAGTAGGATAAATAATACATTTTAGTCCCACATTTCTCCTAAAATGCAGGCTTTCTCTCATCTCTGTCTTTCCATAAACCTTCACACACTAAACTATGTGCCAGTGACACGAGCAGCTCATTTTGCTTGTAATGGGCTGTCCGCTTGTCTAGTGCATCATTTGTGAAACGAGTTGGCTTAGACAGGTATGTAAATAACATTTATCAGTGATTTCTGTAAAACTGATTCCTTCTTTCCCTTGTCATTATAAAAGGAAACTTTATTTCAGAGTAGAAAGTGCATTGTCTGAACTCATCAACACCCTCTCTATTCCTCCCCCCCAATTTGTTGCAGACCAGGATGAAAGAGCAGCTGAGCTCAGCAGGGAGCAGAACGAGAAAACCATCCGGAGCACGCAGACCGCGCTCCGCAATTTCCGTGAGTTCCTCATCTCCAAGTATCCTTCTGAGACAAGAGAGATCTATGTCATCCCTTGCAAGGAGTTGGATGCCTACCTTGCGTCTTTCTTTGTTGATGCCAGGCAGAAGGATGGGTCTGAATACGAACCCAACAGCTTGGCCAATTACCAGTGTGGGCTTGAACGGTACCTGAAAGAACACAGGTATGGCTACAGTATCACCAGGGATAAGGAATTCAAGCGTTCCCAAGAGGCCCTGAAACAGAAGCAAATAGAACTCCGCTGCAAAGGAAAAGGAAATAAGCCACACAAGTCTATGAAGCTCACCTTTGCTGATGAGCTCATCCTGCGTAAGCGGGGGCTGCTAAGCCGATATAATCCTGAGGGTTTGCTCAACCTAGTCTGGCTCAACAACACAAAGGCTTTTGGGCACTGCACAGGATTCCACGGATCTACCTTGAAATGGGGTGACATCCGGCTCCGGGTGACAGAAACAGGCCTGGAGTACTTGGAGTGGATGGGTCAGGATGCTGGGGACCTGAATGCCAAAACCAAGAGGGGGGGAACAGACTCGCGTGTGTATGCCACCCAGCACGCCCCACAAACCTGCCCGGTGCAGGACTATAAGGAGTATGCTCAGCGGCGGCCTCCTGCCATGCGCTATGAGGATGCCCCCTTCTACTTATCCATCAAGCCAGTCGTGAACTTGGCAGCTCTGCATTGGTACAATTGCCAGGCTCTTGGTAAGAACAAGCTGGCCAAGATGGTGAAGACCATGTGTGAAAAGGGCAACATCCCGGGCAGGAAAACTAACTTCAGTGTCTATCAAAGCTGCAGCACTTTGTCGGAGGCCCAGAGCAACCAGTTGGTGCTTATCTGTAACAATCTGAGCCAGCAGGCTGCCCAGTCAGTGGCTGGACACTCCAACAGTGGCAATTTCATCGTCTCTGCCTCCTATGACTCTTCCTCAGACACTGCTTGACCAGGTGGCTTGAGCAAGACCCAATTTTGTTACTGTGTCCAGAGAAATTGGGATGGATTATACACCACTTCTCACTCCCTTTCCTCTGCCCTCAGTGTTAATTAACTTTATAAAAATATAAATATATATTTTTCTTTTTACAAATAAGCCAATGGAGATAATTTAGTATGACAGTATTTATAGGTTTCAGGCAAATGTACTTGTGGGTGATTAAATGTAATTACTGTTACAGACTTTACAAAACCATAGTGGTTCTCAGGCAATGCAAAGTAGAGAAAGAATTATGTTTGTTTGTTTTTTAAACTGTCAAAAAGGAAACAGAGTCATCCTTGACGCTTGTGTCCTCAACTCCTGCTTTTCTGTCCCACTCCACCTCTCATTTTTAGTGTCCTTAATAAGTGGCTTTATTTTTTTAATTTAAAATTTTTTATGCGACTCTAGAGGAGTCAGCAGTAACTTTACTGCTTACATAAAACTGTATTTAGCCAGGTCCAGAGTGTGGAAGTGTTTTATAAGCTCGGCATCAATGTATTTAATATTCTTTTTTTAACTTATTAGAACTTAAGCTAATGTTGTGTTCATGTTTAGCTAATGTTGTGCCTCATTTTTTGCAGTATATGAAAATCTAGGTATTTACTATCTTTGGGGAGGAAGAAGGGTAGAAGGAGGAAATAAAGGTGCCATTCTTTTTGGTAGATAACATAATTTTAAAATAATATGCAAAGTCTAATATCGTGGCAAAAAAGACTGTTACATAGTTCATTTTTACTGTTGTTCTTGAGCCTGGATGGAATGTTTTTTTGTCCCTAAGAAATCAGTATAAATGAAATTTGATTATTGGATAACAAGAAATTTAAAACTAGTAAAGCTTTAAAAGTATTGCTAAGCATTCGTTATGTCGTATATCAAGCATAAAGAAAAGGTAGAGAATGGAAAATTCTTAACTAAAAATCTAGAAGCTGCAGTCAAGACAAGAAAAAAATTCATCCTTTTCAAAGTTCAGATCTCTGAATTATTTATTTATATGCATTAAACTTCAGCCTCTTTTCCCCAGGGGGTTGCTTGACTCTGTAGTTGAGAGCAAAGGAATATTGACACTCATTTTAAGTAACAATATTCCGCTGCCAGGTTTTGCTGAATTCTAAACATTCTTGAAAACGTGTGAGTTTCTTCTACAGTAAATATAAATTCATTTATCTGCGATATCCTGCAGTAATAATAGTAATAATTTTGGTTAAACATTTGTGGTGGTTTTTCCAAGGTCTTTGTTTTCACGTTTTTGAAGCCTGTGGTAAATTATTAGTTAAGATACTTCAAAAATAGCATAAATTTAGACATTAAACCTGTTCACCTTATTCTATAGCTGATCTTTTTTAAAACCAGATTCCTATCCTTTATAATCATTAACACACATAAACTCCAAACCTTAATTGGTTTGTTGGACGTAGGATTATTGGGAGATAGTTTGTTCTTCAAGGACCTCCTAATTGACATTAGCTAGGAAGATAGGTGGTATTTTATGTATTAATTTATTGTATGAGCAGGGCAAATATTCTGATTTGTCTGCTAAATCATCACGGAGCTGAGCTTTCCCTCGGCTAGGCAGCTCTTTGCAAGTTGTAAGCGTGTGACAACCCATTCCTCAAAGCTGTGACTTCTCTTTTGGCTCAGGAGTGGGAAGTCGGCTGGAGACTTTGTGTGGTGGAATTAGCTTCATTTTCATCACTTTTCCTCCATAGAGAAGAAACATTTACACATGCAGAAATAGGAAAGAAGAGCAAAGGATGTCTTGCTTTATTTTTTTGTATTAATAATGATGATAGCTGCCATTTTTGAGCCAGTTAGTGTGTCGGCACTATACTGAGTGGATTAGATGCATCACATACATAAGGAATAGTTACTGATTATTAAAAAATTAGGAAATACAGATAAGGAACGTAAAATAAATACTCATAATTTGCTAGCCAAAGATGAATACTGTTAACATTTTGGCACATATTTCTTCAGATACATTTCAGTATATACATATTTAATTCTCTATACATTATCCTAGTGCTTTTGGCAACTTTGAAAAGAAGGCGAGTTATCCCCATCTTATGTGAGATCAAGGTGGGTCGGTTAAATTACAGCTACGGAAATGGCAGTCTGTCCTCTCAGTCCAGAGTTTTTCTTTCTCAGTACTAGCTTATCATTAGTTCCCAGTGATTTGAGCCAGGGATGGGGACTCAGTGTCTTACCATCTTGAATGCTGCCTGATTAGAGGAACTGCTGAGTGATCTTTGCTGTGGCACTGTGTCTTCTAGTCCCCCCCCCCCCAGACATTCTGAATCACAATGCCTCTTTCAGTTCTCTTAACAAAACCTTCCTTTTCTCCTTATTCTATAGCTGGGCCATAAGTGTGTACAAGACAGCCTACTTCAAGGGAACTCTTGTTAAAAAATATTTTTATGTGCATTAACCTCATTTTTTAAAAAAGGTCTCTGTAAAAAAGCTAAAAATGTGCTTGTGCATTATATTTTTTAATTGACATGGTTTCTAAATTCTGGATATGTTTTTGACAGCAAAGTAAGTTTGTCTTAGGGAGAAAGGGCAGTTAGTATGCCCCGAGAAAGAACTAAAAAATTTCGAATCCCTCTTTATGTTTATTGAGGTACTGAAATGAAAATCTGTCTCTTGCTTCATCATCCTGCATTTTCATTTAGAAGAACATGATTAAGTTGAGAATATGAATTATTTTTTATTTATGTGTATTTTGCTCTGATAAACCAAACAGAAACACTGTGACATAGATTCAGAAAACTATTTTTTCTGAAGAATGGCTTGGTAGAACCATAGCCACATGATAGTATTTTTTTGAGTTGATTTAAATATGAAAAATCTGCAACTACCTCTAAATTTTGTGTTTGTATCTAAACAATACTGAGGACATACCACTGCCAGATACGTTTTTTATTATTTGGTATTTTAAATTTAAAAAAAAAAAACAGACATGTTCACACTGTGGCGGAGGTAGATGTCAAAATTGTATTTGAGCAAAAACCGAACATTTAATGTGTTCATCACAACCGAATGTGCTACCTTTTCAGGCAATCCCATGGTTCAAATAAAACCATATTTGCAAAGTTTACACTTTACAATCTTAACGGCATCTAAGAAATTCTCCAGCGTCCCCTCACATAATGCTGGAAGTTTTGCACTATTTGTAACAAAAACACTGAACCGATCTGTCCGCATTTGGATGACGTAACTAGATAATTTGATCTTTCTTCCATGTTTATGTAAGCAACTATTAAAAACCATACATGTTAGCAATTATGTTTAAAAACCATAATTTTGAAAAAGATATTTAGGATGTTTATCCAAGACAGCTTATTCTAAGATTATATTTGTTGTCATGGTTATTAGAGCTAGTCGGAATATGGTTCATAAATATATATCAACTATTTATTTTACAATTATGTTTCCCTATGTTAAATCACTGCCTGGTCTATAAAAGAATAGTCTGAAAATTTTGTAGCATAGATCAGGCCTGTTTGGTTTTTCAATTAGATTATTGTTAGCTGAAACTTCCATAGCATTTACTAGTGTGAGCCATATGGCTTAGCTCCCAGATGCCGTGAAATCAATGACTTTATTGAGATGAAAATTTATAGTCACATCAACAAATATTTATTGAGCAGCTAGGGTCTAGACACTGGGAGAGGCACAAAGATGAATGAAACAGTCCCTCTTCTCAAAGACTTTATTAAAGACACTGTAATAGAAGTTTTATTTCATTTTTGAGAGCCCACAAAAAACTCTATGCCAGTAGTATTTGGCAGTTTCCCAAACATTGTACTCATGCAGTTTGTCCATTATTTATTTATTAAATATGTTGGTTTGCTGCAGAATGCATAATACTGCTTGAGCATTTTGTGGAGCATCTTCTTTTAGAGCCTATTTTAAAGTCAGTAATGAGGTGAAGCCACTTCTGTGCCATCTGTGGTGTTTACCCAGGTACACACATGCAATAAGATTCATCATCAACCACTGGCATTG